TTTTGGGATTAGGGAGAAAACTGGTTCCAGGGAAACTTCCAGGAATCCATAAAGATGACCCCAGCTAAGACTCCTAGCAATAGTGGAGAGGATGCCTGAACTGACCTTCCCCTGTAATCAGATTGGTGACTACCCTAATTGTCAACAGAGAGTCTTCATCCCGTAACTGATGGAAGCAGATGCAGAGATCCACAACCAAGCATTGGGCTGAGCTACAGGAGTCCAGTTGAAGAGAGGGAAGAGGGATTATATAAGCAAGATGGGTCAAGATCATGACAGGGAAATCCACAGAGACAGCTGACCCAAGCTCCTGGGAGCTCACGAACTCTTGACCAACAGCTAGGGAGCCTGCATGGGACTGACCTAGGCCCTCTGCATGTGGATGACAGTTGTGTAGCTTGGTCTGTTTGTGGGGCCCCTGGCAGTGAGATCAGGACCTGCCCCTGGTGTATGAGCTGGCTTTTGGAAACCTATTCCCCATGATATGAAATTCCCAGCAGGGAGGGCCTTACTTCTGCCTCAATTTGATATGCCATGCTTTGTTGACTCCCATGGGAGGCCTGCCCCTTTCTGAATGGAGGAGGAGTGGATGGGGGCAGGGTAGACCAGAGGTGGAGGGAGGGAACCTGAGGAGAGGAGGGAGGGAACTGTGGTTGGTGGGTTAAATAAATGAAAAAAAAAAGAATATTCAGATTTTCTTTTGGCAGCATATTGGGGTCTTGGCTTATTACTGGCTGGGGTGTTCCTCAGGCATTTACCTTCCAAATGGTTTCAGTCCTTGTATATGTTAGATGCTATTTTACTACTACTGACCCAAGAATCTTAAATGAGTAATTCTCGCTAACAGACAGTAGAAAAGTTAATTTCTTTGTCATTATCTAAATCTAAATGTGACTGGTTTGACATGAGTCAACTTTTTTTTTTTTTGATACAAGTTCTCTTGTACCCCAGGATGACCTTTACTTTCTGATCTTCTGTATCTACCTACTAAGTGTTGTGGTGACAGGTGTGTGTCACAATGCTTAGTGCATGCTGCTTACACAGAGCTGGGGGGTCAACTCAGGACGGCATGCATGGTAGACAATCATTCTGCTAACTGGGTTCTATTCCCAGCTGTCACTGAAACTATTTGAGAACAATCACTAGCAAGTACACTTATTTAGTTAAAGTTACAATGACATTACTATTATATCACAAAGAACATGTCATGTTAGAAAATGAAATGTAGTTTGGTTATATATTTACATTAATTAGAAGTTTTGCACAAGAAAAATATCCCCAGTAAATTTCTTTCAGATCAACTGACAGCTATTTGTAAAGATTTTTAAATGAAAAAATTACAATTATTTTGTTATTTTATGCGTATGAGTGTTTTGCCTGCATGTATGTATGTGCACCAGGCTTGTGCCTGTAGGTCAGAAGAGGGCCCTGAATCCCCTGGAATTGCAATTACAGATGTCTGCTGGCCTCTGTGCTGGTGCTTGCAATCAAACTCGGAACCTCTGCAAGAGCAAGTGCCCTTAACTACTGCGCCATCTCTCCAGACCAAGAAGATAAAATGTAAACGTTAGTACTTTATATCTGTACTTGAAGTAAGGATTTGAATTGAAATGTCATACCCCTTAGCTGAAGGATTATAGGAAACAGCAACCCAGGCCCTGGTGGCTTGGGAAGAACACTCAGGGATGATGGCTTGCATATTCATAATCAGTTCTGATTAGCTCAAGGTTTAAAAAACAAGATGGTGTGTGTGTGTGTGTGTGTGTGTGTGTGTGTGTGCGCGCGCGCGCGCGCGCGCGCGCGCGTGCTAGGGAGGTAGCTCAGTTGTCAAAATGCTCTCTGTGCAAGCCTGAGGACCTGAACTTGGTCTTCAGAACTCATGTAAAAAAAAAAAAATCCTAGTGTGCCGGCACGTGCTCGTACCCAGTGCTGGGAGGGGGAGATGAGTGCACTGCTGGGGCTCACTGGCCAGCCAGCCTAGTCTACTTGGTGAGTAGGCTGTGAGACCAGTGAGAGACCCTGCCTCAAAAAAATCAAGGTGGGTGTCATGTTAGGAACAATACCGAGCTTGACCTCTGCCTTCCACCTGCACACACACACACATGCACATACACATGTACACACATATACAAACTCACATGTGAACTCACATACACATGCATGCATGTAGATGTACATATAAAAATAAAATAACAAAGTGACTTGATAAGTTAGAGTTCCAGCCTGCTGGATTATTTGAAAATGTTTTATTCTTCCCTTTATTTCCATGGCTACCGACAATTTTACACCCATGGCCTCATTCTCTCTCTCTCTCTCTCTCTCTCTCTCTCTCTCTCTCTCTCTCTCTCTCTCTCCAGTGTTCATCTGGGAATCCCGAGCCTTGGTCTTTTATTATATTGTTCTAACATTTCTAGATTGAGGGGTGTAAACATCTCCCCACCACCCGTCTGCTTCTTTGTCAATTTTTTAAGCCTGCTTATTAGATAACAGTATTCCCACTAATTGACCTATTCAGGAAGATAAGCACCACTTTCTATCAAACCCTTTCCAATACAGAAACTGCAGTAAGCCATCAGCCGAGTTCATCTTAGAAGCTGACCGAGTTTCCTCAGCACACAAGATTGAGAGACATCCCAGCTACTGAACAGGGACTGGGGCCTGGAGTCTTCCCACCTCTCCAGGCAGAGATGAGGCCTGGATAGAACATGGCCCGTGAGCACTGGCCAGCTAGCTGCTGACCACTGTGTCTCTGACCCTAACCCTTTAAATCTTTTCATGCTGCACCTTTCCCCTTAGGAAAGAAGAGATGACATCTTGTTCCCAGCCAAGGATATGCAAATAGATTTGGGTGGCATGGCATGGGCTGAATTAGGACCGCTGTGTTCATTATCTTGATCAGCTCAGCTTTCCAGTTCAGTTTCCATGTTTACAAACATGCCACCACTGTCCTTGCTAAGGACCAAAAGACTCCTACGCACAGCCGCATTTGATAAGAAAAGACTATCTCTTCTGTTTCCCTTACAGGGGAGCTGGTGGAGGTTCAGCCTCTCTGGCTTTCCGGATGGCTCAGCTATGTGAGCCCGTAAGCACAGGATGTTACTGCTGTGGAGCAATACTTGACTGGTGGGGCACTGAAAATGGGTATATGCACTTACCCAGTGCTGAGTCTCTATGGTCAGAACACACAGGGTGTATAAACAAAGCAGAAATAGCCATTAGTCCTGTCCTCTGGAGACAATTCCCAAAATAATTTTGATATAACCACTTCCATATTTTTTTTTAGTGTGACAACAAACCATATATAATTAATATTGAGATTCTACTATGGAGAGATTTTCATATTGCTTTTTAAAAAGGATTGTACTGAATTTTCCTGCATTATTAAATGCATTTGAAAACAAATGGTTAATGATCAAAATATTCAGCTGTAGAAATTTACCACTTAAGTTCTGTTCCATGGATGGGATTCTAATTTGTTTTAAAATTAAGAAGGTTGAGATGTAGATATTTACACACCAATCTTCATGCATGTTCCTTTAAAAAATTATTTATGTGCATTGGTGTTTTGCCTGCATGTATATCTGTGTGAAGTTGTCATAGAAACCCTGAAACTGGAGTTACAAATAGGTATGAGCTGCCATGTGGGTGCTGGGATTTGAGCTTGGGTCCTCTGGAAGATAAACCAATGCTCTTAACTGCTAAGCCACCTCTGCAGCCCATCCCTTTTACTTCTTAATGAGTTCCTGGGAATAGTTTGCTTGGTCAAAGGGATTCACCATGCCCACAAAAGCCATGAGTGTTGCCAGCCTCAGGCTCTGGTTGGCATCCCTACCCTGCCATGTGTTTGCCTCCAAACATTCCTCTTGTGGGCGAATGTTTGTACTGAGCAGTTGTAGATCTTGGGTTTCCTAGAAGTCTTCGCAGAACCCTTTGTGGATGGATGGATGTTGCAAAAGCTGACTTTGTGATAGTTTTTCTTCTTGTTTGCTTCTGGCATCTACTCTGTGGTCACAAGTGAGAGGCAATCCCCTCTGCACCCCGTTAGAGCTTTACAGGTGGGAGATCTCTTTTCCAGATTGTTTGCCCTTAGTTACCCTCTCTATACTTCCTGGAGAAAGCAGTGATCCTCAACTGAAGGTGATTCTGCACTTTCGCCCTCAAGGGAGTGGATCAATATCTGGAGACATTTTGATTGGGTGTGTAGAGGGTGTTGCTACTGGCCTCTACTGGAGAGAGGCCAGAAATATGTTAAAGATCCCATATCCTGTTTGTAATACAAAATGTTCTCAGTGATTCTGAATTATTAAATATAAATTAGAGTTGGTATAGGGTTAGTAGTTAAGTCAGGGAATGGGAGATGGCTCAGTGGCTAAGAGAGCATGCTGGGAAAGAGTGAGGACTTGAGTTTGAATCCCCAGCATCCATATAAAAAACAGGGTGTGGCCAAGTGTGCCTGTAACCCCAGCACTATGAGACAGGAGCATCTTTGGGGCTTGCTGGCCACCAGTGTAGCTCCAGGATCACTGAGGACCCTGTCTCAAAAGATTCTGTCAGAGAGTGATAGAACAAAAGTGGACGTTCTCTTCAGGCCTGCTTGGGTGTGCATGGGCATGCACACCTGTATATACACATGTGTATATATCCCCCCATCATACACAATGACAGAGAGAGAGAGAGAGAGAGAGAGAGAGAGAGAGAGAGAGAGAGAGAGAGAGAGAGAGAGAGAGATTGAAGAGAGGAGAGAAAGAAAGATAGATAGATGTTAAGATAAGGATAAGGAATGGGCATAATTTCTTGTTTAATATGGAAATATAGACCTTGCCTTTCCAGGAAAACTCTTATTTTTTTCTTTATTAATTCCCATCCCCTGTTTCATTGTGTATTTCTCTGTCTTTGCCTGCTCCTTCATACCCATGCACCCCCACAGACCCCCTCCCAAATCTTAAGTTATCAGGTTGCTGTGTGTAGGGAGAAGAGAGTGGCTGAGAGAGGAGACACATTGCAGTCTAGAATCTGGGTCTTTATTGAGGTTCATTGCCCTTTAGGAACCTTCGGAGACATGGAAGAACCTTTAGGGATACCAGGGAGCTGGCAGGATTTCAGCAGGAAGCTAGACAGGCCAGGGCACATGGCACAGAAAACCTGCTCAATTCCAGTTCCAGAGTTCCTCACAGGCTCGCCCAAGCTCCACAGTCAATTCTCTCTCAAGATCTTATTGATCCAGGGTCTGTAATGGGAGAGTCTGGTGAAGACAGCCGGGGGCTTTGCATTCTGATGTACATAGGACGCGATGCCTTGGGCTATCCCAGCACACAGGAGGGGCCCTCCAGAGTCTCCCTGTTAGAGAGGAAACGCATGAAGAACGCCTCTACCTCTACCCACCCATTTCACCTTGGAGTTGCAGTGAGGGCTAGCCAGTCCCGGAGCCTGATGTCACATCTCTCTTTCCTGGGGCGGCCACCACACCTTCACCCCATGTTTTCTGCACAGCGATGGAAGATGTAAACTTTCTTTCCTCACTCCCGTGGTTCCTAAACACTGTGATTAGCTGACAATTTTCTGCCCTGCCTCCTTCTAGCACTCAGGGCCCCCAGCAGTGGTTTTTAAAAAAATACTAGTAAGAGGATCACCTTGTATACATTTCGCATCTTCTTAGGATTGCCCATACACATCTGGGGTTCATGGTGAAAACTCTCAAAGTGACAGCAGGCTTGGGGATCCAAGACACTCATCTTCACCTCTTGCAGTGTGTCGGAGGCTGGTTCATTCACGTTTGTTTGGCCCCAGCCGACTGCCCGGCACACCCTCCCAGGTGGGATGAAGTTTGATTTGGCTGAGAAGGGGAGGGTGCCCACGCCTAGGGTTAGGTTGGCTTTCTCCTTCAGCTGTGAAGGGAATGAGGGGCTTTTAGTGAGGGCCATGGGCAGTCGGAGAGGAAAAGGGCAAAACACCAAGTCCAACCTGTGGATAAGAAGGGAGGGGTGTCCTGAGTCAGGGCAGGGGAAGCTCAGGGCAATGGGGACCTGAAGGAAAAGTCTAAGGGAGTAGACTGGAGGGAGACGCTTGTTACCTTCAGTAACATGATGTCGTTGAGAACCAAATGGCCATCGTATTTTGGATGAGGGAATTGCTTTTCAACCTCAAGCATCTGCCATGTGTCTTCTTTGACTTTTCTGTTGTGGGCTCCTAGGAGGACTGTGATAGACCTATTGTGAAGACGAAGGGGGGCTGAGGATGGAGAGTGCTTGTCTAGCTTACATGAAGCTCTGGGTTTGACCCACAGCGCTGTATAGACTGGCAAGGTGGTGCATGCCTATAATCTCTGCACTTGGGCAGTAGAGGCAGGAGGATTAGAAGTTCGAGGTCATTCTTAGCTACATAGTGAGTTTGAGGCCAGCCTGAGCTACATGAGACTGTGCCTCAAAAACAAACACAAATAAAACCAACAACAGCAACAACAAAAAGAAAGGACAAGGAGAAGACAGAGGCAGCTTCAGAGATGAACACATTTTGAGAAAGGCTGGAATTCCTCACTGAGACTCTTCCCATACCCCCTTTCTGGGCTACTCATGGTTTTGGATGGCTCAGTTTTTAAGCAGGCGAGCAATGTGGAGATGTCTGCACTTGGGCCTGAAGGTGGATCTTGAGCTTGGGCCAACTTTCAGGAGAGAAAAGGCTTCGAGAAAGAGTGTTCCCTGCAGCAGACATACTTTCTAGGTCTGGGTGCCTTGGAATTGCTGGGGAATGAGCAAAAAATGAAGGACCTAGGGGATAGGGTTAGCACTCCCCAGTTTGGGGAACTTTATATGGAGCCGGTCTTCTGCAGAAAGAGTTATGAGTCAAGTAGGAAGTAGGAGGAAGTAGTAGTGTCCTGTGGATGTTGTTCTGTCTTCCTTAGAAATGATGGGCTCTGGACCCTGGAAACTGATGGCGTTCTTGAAAATGTCAAGGAGAGATGACCCAGAAAACTACTGGGTAGACACTCACAAGTGAGCATGAGTGTCTTCTCTGTTGAAGGGGGTATTGGAGAGGAGACTTTTGGAGAAACCTCCCTTGCCTCTGAGGGGAGCTGCATTTACACTGATAGAAGGTCAGGGCATCTGTTTAACAATCTCTCTCTCCGTCAGTTGACCTAGGCTCAGGATCCCTCTTCAGGTCCCACCTGGGCTTGTCCCAGGATGCTGCCCTGATGGTTTACCTTGTAGTTAGTGATAAACAACCCCTTGTCTCACCTTCCGGCACAGTGTGCAGCGGTCAGTACAAAATTTCGTCTTATGAGGAAGCCGCTGCAAGCCGACAGGTGATGGTCAGGAGTGACAATGTCCAGATAGGCCATGTAGGGGCGGGCGTGTGGTTTGCACTCCGTGCCCCCGATGATCTCCCCTAGAACAGAGAACCCCAGGGCCCGACATAGGTGTGGATGCCCTCTCCAGATGAATGCACAGCTGGGTTAAGGTTGGGAGAGGGTTCCCTTGATCTCTTTGCCCTAGATCCTGCCGGTCATCCTCTCAGACATCTTGATCAGTTTTTCTCACCCACAGCTCACCCTCCTCCAAATAGTCATTTCTTTCTCAAGGCACAGCAGCCAATCCTGCCTTAGATTTAGGCGGTTCCCGCTTCTGACTTCCCACATTCTGGCCCATCTGCCTTCCTGCAGCCCATGTTGTCCAGGTTCCTCCTGTCCCGCCCCCTTATAGGCACAGAACTGCAAAATCACAAAGCAGTCCTTTACCTTTGGAGTCTCCCTCTGTCTCCCACTTGCTTTAGGATTACCCTCCCCCGCAGGGTCAACACAAGCTTCTGTGTTCCTGGAGACCACTATGGCTTTAAAGAATGGGTGGGTGTGTTCCAATAGGAGATTTCAGTCTGAGGCTCTTGAGAAGAGCTGAGACCCTTTTCAGAGTCCCAAAAGTCAGACTAAACCTCGTTGTCTTAGGAGCTGACCCTGAAGACTTGCGAGGGAAGGACCCCCGACACTCACCAGCTTTAGCGGTAGAGCCCAGGAGGAAGAGCAGCAGATGGAGAACGAGAAGACGCATCCTCTCAGAGGGGCTGCCCACAGCTGCTGCAAGCTTTATCTTTGGGTCTTAGGACTTATTACTCCCAGGGGGCAGGGGAGTGGCAGAGCTGTTATCACAGGAACTGTGTGGTCGTGTTTTTTTTTTTTAGAGTTGCTCTCTTCATGACTGGACGGTCCTCCAGAATGACACTGTTTTACTAGAGGTGGAACTGAAGCCTAGGTACTCAGGTGGGTTCTCAACTGTGCCTCTGTGTGGGTTAGGAGTGTGGGGGCAGACTATGGAGGAATCCTACCTTTTCTAGTTAGGCCAACTTGTTAAAAGTCCCTAGAAACTTGGGTTGAGGGTAATCTTTGCACTGAGCATCCAGGAGCACACAGGTTGCGATTACTATAGCCCACAGTAGGAAATGTGTCTTTCAGAAAGCCTCAATGGACATATACATGCATAGATATGTACATGAGCAAACAAACATACACAATATGCCATTTTTGCAGAGTAAGGGGGGTTAAAGTATTAATCAGGGGTGGGGGAGAAAAGGGATACTGGGTAGGTTAATCCACACTAAAGTACTATTTAAAAAAAAACTTAAGGAAATCCACTAATTAGTAAGCTAATTAAATAAAGAGTTTGAACAGAATTACTATGCATGTGTGGCAAATGTCAATACTGGAAAACATGGGTTTTTAAATAAAAATCGTAACACTAGGCATAGGATACCTCCCTATGAGTTACTGGTCTCCAAAACAACACAAACTACTGCCATTGCTCTTGGTCGCTTACCATAATGTCACGGTAAGGCCTTATTGCTGAAGATACCACACCTATTGGCTGCAGGAAATAGAAAATCAGTCTCAAACTGACCTGGAAACTTCTTACCTAGTTCTGGAAGGTACAATACAGGCTGCTGGGGGAGCAAAGACATCAATAGACTTACCCAGCTTTGGACCTTGTATACTGCAATACAGATCTGCCAGGCAAGATGTGTCTATTAGTGCCATAGTGGCATGACTGTTATTGGGGTAAATAACTGATTTCTGATTGGATTTGATGCATACTCCACAGGAGGAGTATGCCTGTTATTGTAATCTTGACCCAAAGTCAAAAGCCTATGGAAGGTCTTATTTTGTTTGATGGTAAAGTTGTCAAAATTTCCTCTAAATATTTGTGCTTATGATCATCGACCCGAGCTGCTGTCATCCTTGGTCAGAGAAGCTTCTCTTTGCAGCAGTCAATGTAGAGATGCATAACTTGTCAAGAGAATGAGGGACTAGGTGCTCAGCCCTACACGGACATCTATATCACCTCTCCACTCCCCAAGCAACAGTCAAGGATCATTGTGGAAGAGGAGGCAGAAAGAGTGTGAGGATGGAGAGGAGCACGGTGAAAGCCTGGCTGTTTTCTGGGCATGGGGTGGCTGTCACACTCATGGACTTGAAGCAGCTGTGGTTTCCTGTACAAGCCTACAGGAGATCAAGCCAGCCTAATTCCTGCCATAGGCGGGGTAGATCATCTCCAGACTCCACACCAAGGAGCGACTGTCAGTGAATACTTGCTGGGGAGGCAGATGTCTTCTTCATAGAGGATGTGGCCCCTGATGGTTCTAGACTCATACACATGGCAGCACTAACTGGACTTCTTGGGTTATTAAAAAAACACACACACATGAAGTTGGGAGGAAATTTCAAAAATAAAGAAAAATAAAAAATATAATATTCTGTTAGTTTTCATGCTATTCCATTTCATTACATTATATATTAAAACTTAAACAGCATTCCTCTTATATAATGATTATCTGAAACACATTAACCTGCATTTCTTCATCTGAACCAGTGTTTATTGTCAGAGGAAGAGACAGAGGGAAAAAGAGAGATCAAGTAGAGGAGGAAGCCGACTCTAGGCTACTCCACACACTTCAACCGGAGAGTGAAGACATGGGATGACCTTTCCTCAGTCTGCCATTCCATTAGATACCTTGTTACTTCCCTAGCAACCCCAAAGAAAATTTCAGTTTTGTTGACCTGACCTTTAGGGTTTATGGTGTAGAGCTAGATCTTTCTGATTTCAAATTAAGGATCCTTCTGCTTAACCACGGAGGAGAAAGAGTCTTGCTAAGTGTGAGGGAAGGGACAGAGGTATGAAGTAAGTCATCTTCTCTGGAGGGCTGGGGTGGGGGTGGGTTCTAAACTGAAGAGTACAACGTCAGTGTCCGAGAGTTAACACTCTTTCTTTTTGTAGCTACCCTGGAAAATGCCTTTGCTGTCTGTTTACAGAGGTAGAATTGAAACTGGGAGGAAGACCATACAACCTCTAGCTATTAAAAACAAACCCAGCACCTGCTTGGTGCTCCCCTGGACATGGAAGAGCAGGCCACACAGTGCAGTGCAGTGAAGTTTCTTTTGGAGACCACAAAGAGATTGGGTTCATAGCGGGGAGCCCGCAGAGGGTCAATGCTTCTGCACACTGTTCCACATGCCCTTGTGCCAGCCTGGGCTCATGAGCACAGTGACCTGTTTCTTAGTCTCCATCAGCTGCTGCTCTCATCCGAACTTTCTGAGCCCATCACCCACTCCGACCCTCTCAAGAACGAGACGTTTACTTCCCTAGAGTCTTTCTGCATCTGGGCTTTTTAGGGTTAGCATTGCTTTGTTCACCCTCTGGGGTTGTCACATAAAGCCCAGAATGCCCCATTAAATGTGTGTTTCAGGGGGACACCAATGACAACAAAACCCCAAGAAACAACACCCCAGATATTGAATGGAACCTTTACTGAAAACTGTTGTCTATCTAAAGTTGGAATTTAACTGTAAGTCCTGTGTTTTTATTTGCTAAAACTGAGAGTTCTGACACTTCATCACTAGCAGGACAGAGGAGGATCTGGAGCTGGAGAAATCTTGTGGAGGTTCTGCATCTGTGAGACCAAGCCCCAGAGGCCTAGGCAAGGTTTTTCACTTGTGTTGTTGAAATGGAGGGGTAGGTCACTTAGGACTAGGTGACGGCTCCCAGCATCATGGCTCAGATCCACCAGCATTGAGTTGTGTTTCATCTGCTCGGCTGGAAGTGAGGGAAGAGATTGATACAGTTCAGTCCCCAGCAGGGCATCAACCTCATAAATATTGTCCCATGATTTGCTTGCATTTTCTTTGTCTGATGTGAGTATAGTTTATCAGAATTCTGCTTTCTCTTTTGGCTCCCTTGTCTGCTTTATATGTTGCTGTGCTTCATAGTTTAGCTATGGTTTGAAGATCATGAAACTGGGAGTGTGATTAGTTAGAAGGGAATGGGGGTCTCTAGGAGATCTTGTCTTCACTGACAGGCAGTAACTGATGAAACCTGTGATTTGCGTTGTCTCAAGGAAGTCGTGTTAGGTACTCTTCTCGTTGCTGCAGTCTGAGGGCGCTGTCCGTGATGGAAAGACACGGCAGTAGCATTGTGAAGGGGTGAGACCCACTGCATCAGCAGTCAGGAGAAAGAGAACAGACAGGAAGTGGGACTCCAATACAAAACTTAAAGACCAGCCTACGGCAACCAACTTCCTCCCCTGAGGCTGTACCTCTGAGGGAGGGTTCTACAACCTTCCAAAGGTGGTGCCTCTAGCTGAGGACCCAGTGTTAAAGACATGAGTCACAGAAAACCGTTCAAGATGTTTGATCAATTCATGACACAATAGTGTATATAATATACACTCAAAATTTCATCATCTACAACATTATAAAGCCATTGGGAAAACTGGACTATCATAATAGAATATGTTGTAGAGTGTATGCTCTGGCAGGGATAGCCACCACCCAGGGGTGGTTAATTTCCTTCCTTCCTTCCTTCCTTCCTTCCTTCCTTCCTTCCTTCCTTCCTTCCTTCCTTCCTTCCTTCCTCCTCTCCTCTCTTCCTTCCTCTTTTTGTCCCTCCCTCCTTCCCTCCCCTCTCCTCTCTCCTCTCTCATTTTTCATTTTGAGTCAGGCTTTTATGTGGCCTTGAACTCCGTATACAGCTGAGACCATGGCCTTGAATCCTGATCTTCCTGCCTCTGCCCCTCAAGTGCAGGGTTATGTGTGTTTAATCCTAAATTACTATGTCCAGTTTAGGATTTGTTTCTTAGGAGATAATTTTGTAATGCAATGCTAAAAATAATTAAGATGTTCAAGATCTATTCAGTACACAAAGGTGACTCCAAGCTAACATTTAGTAGCTCTACATTATGAAATGAAAAGCTGGGTATAGTGGTAGACACTGCAATCCTCAGTACTTGGAAGGCTGAGGCAAGATTATGGCACTTGTCCCTGGCTAGCCTCGGCTTAATAGCAAGATTTTGTATAAAACTAAACAGAATGAAGAAAACCCCCAAATTATTTATGCTTAAAAATGTCATATTCTTCTGTAGCAAATCTTTCTCTGTCCTTCCAGCCAGCTCCCAAATAATGACACAGAGACTTCTTATTGATTATGAAAGCTCATCCTTAGTCTTGTCCCACCAGCTCTTATAATTTAAATTAACCCATTTATATTAATGTATGTTCTGCCACATGGTATATTACCTCTCTTCCATCTTATACCTACTCTTTCCATTCCTTGTCTGGCTGGCAACTCTGCCTTTCTTCTTTCTAGAAGTTTTGCCTAACCTCTTCCTGCCTAGCTATTGGCCATTCAGCTCTTTATTAAACCAAATCAGAAGGCACCTTGGCAAAGACACATCTTCACAGTGTAAACAAATATGCTGCAACATCATTCCTTCTTAAAAAAATGTTTTCAGAGCTACTAAAAATTTTCATTTAGAAAATAATTGATAAAGTATTACTTTGGATAGTACGAGAACAGATGGGGAGACACTGGCTGGAGGACATTAATCAACCCCGGCTTCTTTCTTCTTGTCCCATGTCACCAGAGACTGGATTCTCCTCAGTGTAAGCTTTTTTTTTTTTTTTTTTTTTTTTTCTGAAGGCAAACCTTTGGTCACCTGTAAATCCTTCTCACTTGCAATTTCTTTGGGCAGAAGATATGCCTTTTTTTCTTTCTGACTCTTGCATTTTGTTTCTGCTTTTGCAAGGCTTGGGTGAGAAGCAGCTGGCCTCCTCTGGATGCTTCCTTCAGCTGCTGCTGGCCGAGCTTGCTTTGACATCCTCCGTGGGTGTCTGCTGCC